TTCCAGTCTACAAACGCCAAAAAAAATCTCTCATCAGTTAGCTTTGAAATTCATGATGAGTACTGGCAGTGTGAGTAAAATTAGTGAGTTTGGCTCATATGTTGCACTGCATAGAATTCAGCGCTCCAGGATAATGAAAATTATTTCGTTACACAGATTCTCAAAAGTTCAGAGTCTTTGCAAAAAAATAAAGTAGGATATTGAAACTAAGTGACACTTAATGAAATGTTGAGAAAGTTTTTGTATTATGGACTAGTCCTACGGTACTATCGGAAATTCGTTGGCAGTGTTGATGATAATGTGTGTACAGCCCCAATTATGGCGACAAAGTTATTTTGGAGTTTGTTCAAAGCTAAAAAGATATCATTGATGCAATTCTGATGACGAAAAAAAATGAATGCAGTTCCTTTTCCACGTCATCCGAAATGAGGAATATCAAAAAAAGATGGATAGTATTTAGCCACGTTCCAAGGTGAAATGAATAACAAAATGTTTGACATTGAACAATTTGATGCTAAAAGAAATGGCAAGAAAAATATCAGCTATTTTCCCAAAACTCAATAATGTTTGTTTTTAAAAAACATGAAATTTTGTATAATTCCATGAAGTTCTTGTGGATGTTTTTGTTTCATTGATTTATTAAATACTGCATATATACAAATCTGTAAATAAAATGTACTCTAAATAAGCTTTGTGAATATATGTTTTTTTTTTTAATATTCTTTAACACTAAAAAATATTTCAGTCCCTCAGTTTTGTGTTAAATATTTTCACTGATATCTATTGCACTAAATCCTTTCTTACATAAAATATAAATGTAGTATAAATAACTAAATAAATTGTAAAGGAAGTTTAAATTAGCAACTATGAAATCTTAAAAAAGTAGATAGTATGAAATTATAATGGCAAACATTAAAAAGATGAAAGTAAATAAAATTTAAATTATAGAACGTACTTTATAAATTAATAACAAGTTGTTAAAAATATATATTTTATTACTTAAAAAATGGAAGTTATTTGGCCGAGATTGTTGAATAAAATTACTATTCAAATCTTTAGATTACTATGTCTATTTAAGTCTCAACTTGCAGTCTTAACCATAACAACCATTAAAAAATCATCGTTATCATATCAAGCTCAGCAGCATACATTTTTTCAAAGCGTGCATAATATTAATTGGGATTTGATAGTCAAGTTGCTACAAAATAAGAGAATGTTTTATGATTTTAGCTATAGTTTATCTTCCATCACTTAGTACACTATTTTATTTTTTATATTTTTATATGTTGACTGCCAAAATTTCAAGAGCTTCTGATATTTTTTAGTTGAGTTTTTACTGTCAATCATTTCAGTATTTACATCGTCAATGCACGACACTACTGAATTGATTTACTTTTACAGCTAACACATAAACTGGAAAACGAAAAGTCCTTTTGGAGACTATTCTTTCGTTCATGAAAAATAAAGTTCATTGCACAAACATGCAATCACATGCACAAGCAGTATGAAATTCTAACACATTTAGTTATCCTTATAATTGATACACATTTAGTAAATAATAGAAATTTTTAATGTAAACAAATGATAAAGTAGTTAGTTCATAAACAGATCATAATACTACAGTACAAGATATTTAATGTTATAAAGTTAGTAATTCAGTAAATTTCAGTTTTTCACCAAAGCAATGAGTATTTTTAATAGAAGTTCCTTGTAATCTTATGAAACTTTATTGCTGTTTTAAGTAATTACAACTGTGCAAGTTTATTTTAATTTTGAAAATATCATTAAACCTATTTTGGCACGAAAGTCTGCAGAATGCGGTTCACATAGAGGTTCACAATTCTTCCTATTCCTTGATCTGAGTTTTCTGCAGAGTTTTTTTTATTAAATATCTGTGTTGGCACACATACAATTTTGTATAGTGACTTCAGATGTGGATAAGTTTTCGAACACTCTCGTTTGTTTTACTGGGTCGCGAATTTTGCGATGATGCAATTTATTGCCGAGTCTTCCAGATTTTTCATACTGTTAATTATATATCAGCAGTGAATTATTCTCCTCTTTCTCAAATACACTACGACGATAAACAATAACCATTCACTAAGATTTGCCTAAATTCCACTCATGATAATTTAAATTGCGAAAATCTCACAATGACACGTAAAACACACTATTCGCACCACAAATTCTTTCGAAAGCGCGCCGAGTAGTCAAAGTGTGTACGCCGTTTTGCAGGTGAACTAGTCGCTATTTCCGTGACGTCAAAATTCGAAAAGTGGGGTAGGGTTTGGAAATACGCTTCCTTCCTTTGGAGTTTCATCATTCCTTTCAATAACTTCATTCAATGTCGTTGATGTTCTTTGGCAGGATGATGTGCTCTTTGGTAATCGATTCTGATCTGATTCATGTGAACATCATTTACGTCCGAAGGTCTTCATCTTGCTGAAATAGACATTGCGTCAGCCTGCTTCTGAGAGCAACACTTCCCGTTTCGCGTTTACGATTCTACGCATCAGATGATTTCTTTTGTTTCCATGTTATCAAAATTTCCCACTGAAATTTAATTAAAATTCAATGCCAAATATAATATATACCTTCGTTTAAATAAACCAATAGCTGCTAAATATAGAATAAAGATGAAAAGTAAAAAAAAAAAAAAAAAAAAGCTAATAAAAAGCAGAAGCTCCGGCTTTGCCTTAAAGGATTGATGCCTTTGTGAAGAACTTTCTAAGCGAACCAGCTCGTATACACGTACAACAGAAAAACCACAAAACGCCCACGCAACTAGCCCGTTCGCCGGATTCGAACCCGGCGAACTACCAATTCAGCTACTTTACCGCTGGCCGTTTGTGGGCCCTTTTGAAATGGAAGCTAATTTACTTAAACTATGTCAGAAATGCCAATGTTTTCGAAAAGTTGGACACTTTAATATTTGTAGAACCCTCGGAAAAAAGCAAGCATTAAGAAGAAAAATAATACTACAGTTCGAAGATACTTAAGGTTATAAAAGAGGTAATTTTAGTTTTTCACCAAAGCAATGAAATATTTGATAATTATGAAGTTCCTTGTATATCTTTATAAATGAACTTTATTGCTGTTTAAAATCAATTAAACAACTGTCCAAGTATTTAATACTTCGAAGATATACACTGAAGACATTAAAATTATTATCTATTTGTCAACCTTTGATTTTGGCATAAAAGTCTGCAGAATCTCGTAGTTTTAAGCACACAAGGCACTGCAATTCTTCTTATCCTTGATCTAAAGTTTTTTTGTTTTTTATTTATTTATTAAAAATCTGTGTTGGCACACATACAATTTTTGATAGTGCTTCAGATGTGGATAAATTTTGCGAACACTCGTTTGTTTACTGGTCGCTGAATTTTGCGAGAATGCATCACATATTGCCGAGTCTTCCATTTTCATACTGTTAATGCATCAGCAGTGAATTATTCTCCTCTTCCCAAGTACACTACGGCAATAAACATAACCATTCACTAAAGATTTTGCTTAAATTTCCACTCATAATAATTTTAATTGCAAAATCTCACAATTAGCAATAAACATACGAATCAACCCACAATCTTTCGAAACGCGCCGTAGTAGTCAAAAGTGGGGTACGGCCGTCTTGCCAGGTGAAACTAGTCGATATTTTGGTGATGTCAAAATTCGAAAAGTGGGCTGGGTTTGGAATACGCGCGACGGTAGCATGAACTGTGTCCGAGCTCTGCAATGTAATTTAAATTGTCTTTAGTAATAATTATTCTTTTGTTATAGGGGATTGTACTCTTATTTTCTTTATGATATATGCATTAAGCCACGACCACCAAAGATATGCAGGTTCCTTTTTCAGCCTAACTAGATTTTAATTAAGATTAAACTAGGATGTCTGTTGTTATTCATTTTTTCGAAAACTATACGTTCTTTATTTAGATGGTATAATTAAGTTAGTTCTCAGTATATGTTGATTATGTTTTTTTTTCCTGGCCTCATACAGCTCTGTTGTTTATCCTTGGTACTTAGCCAGCGTTATGAAAAAAAAAAAACAAAACAAAAAAAAAAAAAAAAAAAAAAAAATATTAGTCCTAATAATTATTAGTTAGTTTTATTATTAAGACTTGCTGTGCTAAGGTACTAGGAATTGGAGTTCTGAACCCCCCGGCAGGGGAGGAGTTGTGAGGTTCAGACATATGCACCCCTCTAACTTCCATGTGCTTAATGAGATATATCAAGTTCTCAGCGACAGAATGGACAGCGGACCTTTGGAAGAAAGGTGCAGCAGAAACCCCCCTAGTGTGGTTTTTCTGGACATAAGGGACTAATTATTCTCTTTCCAGATTTTTAACAAAACGAGGAGAGAGTTTTGTGTAAAAAGCTTTTATTGCTGTAAACAAGTGAAAGCAGACGCATATTAGCGTCGTCCCCACGTCGCTAATATGCGCCTGCTTTCACATGTTCGCCTTTGAATGAATAATGGCTGCAATGATTCCATTATTTTAATATTTAATTAAGAATTTCTTATTAAGTTTTCAAAATAAATATTTTTAAAGAGAACCTGTCTTTTCTTGCAGCCAATACGGGTGTTCTGACGTTACAACGTACTTGAGTCTACAAACTTTTGGGACAGATTGCATTTACCCCTTTTTCCTAGCTGCTATTCCTTACCCAATATTTACTTCTGTTAGCATATAAAAGTGTCGCCCACATTTTTAATTCGATCTACACCCTGGAGAAAAATTGCTGCTAGATTTTGTGTTATTCATGACGAAAGTAGATATTAATTAGGACAACTGTGCCGTAACACCGTATGTTAGATTTAGCATAAGCTACATTCCATACTGTAATAGCATGCTCTATAAACTAAGTAACATAATTTGCACCATTTCTAGGCATTGAAGTTTGCTTTCAGCAAGCCTTTCGATTAATACAAATATTATTTCCAAGGAGCAGGAACTGTACTTCTCGACATAAAAGCAGCAATATTTTTAATAAATATACTTTAGAGCTTGTTTGCAGCCGGTAGACGAATTCATTGGGACGAATTTGGTGTTTCTGGACGTCGTGGAGGTTTATTTATTCTGTACATTTAATAGTTATGAATAGAATTACAACTGCTGCTTATGCTTTGAGAAGCAAGAAACTCTTTAAAGTATGGTATTTGTATATTTACAAATAATTTTTTGTTATTTTAATAATAATGGACAAATCTGTCAACTAGATAGTTTTGATACTGTTCGGTTTCAGTGTATTATATGAAATAGCTGAATGAATTCTGCATGAAATTAGTGCTTGTGCGTTCAGTATGTGCATGTGTGTGCGTTGAATATTATTTCTTCGTTAAAGAAAGGAGTACTTAATTCTTATTTACGCCAGTTATGGTATTGCGTCATTTTGGTACCGTATATAAATTTCTAAAAGTTTAACGGAATGATGGCTTTTTCTTTCGTTCTATGTTTATGTTACTTAACATATGCGTTTAAAATACCTAATGCAATTTAATATGGTTTTTTAGTTATAAATTATCAGATAGAATAGATAACTGTAAGTAATAGCTGATGTTGGTGGCTCCATTTCATTTTTCTCACAGGGATTTATTTAAAGACTAGGTTGCTTTAAAAGTTTAAGGATTGCTTGGTTTATCGCTAAAATTGAGTTGATGGGCAACTGTAGGTTTAGAAGCTTGTTTTGGAGATAGGCCTAGGACGTGGAAGATATCGCACGTAAATCCAACTGGGTATTTTAGCATTAAAGCGGCCATTGTATATGGTTGTCCGACATTTAAAATTAATTTGGCAGGTATTGAAAAATACTGTCAAATTTCAAATGTGAAAAATCACAATATGAAACTATAACAACATTAAAAAAATTATTTCCCCATAATTTGGCAATTGTTACTTTTTTAAACAATTAAACGTTTCATGTCATCTTGCATACTGCTGCCTCATAAATTTTCCCAAATATGAATCTTGGTATTGGCAAGCCATTCCTCGTCTTTTGTTTCACCATTTTTCTACCCAGCTTCTCTAGAGATAATCTCATTTGGTGGTCATTTTTACACTTTTGCTCAGTACACAGAATTCCATGCAATGCTTTTTTTTTTTTCATTTCTGTTTTTAAGCTGAGTATGGTTAGCATTTTATAGGAAAAATTAATAATGAAGAATATGAAAGAATGAACCAGGAATGAATGTTTCCCATTTCCGCTTTATCTTGAGATTATCATGCTTGAAATGTATGATGCATTTCGGCTCTTTTTCAGATAAAGAGGGGAGTAACCATTGTCACATGAGCAAAAGCAGACATCTACGCTCATACCTGTATTAAACACTAAATACTTTTTAGCAACATAATTTGGTTGTCACATAATTTGGTGACACAATACATTACTTCATCAATATTTTTTTGTGATTTATTGGTGAGAAGATACCTGTAAATTTTCAAGTCTGTGCTACATAATGTAAAGTTATATTGAAGGAACTTGTAAACATATATTATAAAGGTTTTAATAATATCAGCATATAAATTTATATATTAAATTTATATGCTGATATTATTAGTAAGTAATAATATCAGCATATAAATTTATATAAGTAAGCTTAAACTTCCAATTATGTCAAAGAGTTTCCAATTCTGGAGCTGCCAAAGGATCACAAGGAAAGCGTGGGGGGGGGACGTCCGGCGCACAATAAAGAAGTTGATCGCAGCACTATCGTCATCTTCATGGCAGATGTTTTATTTTATTCGGCTTATAATTCCTTTACTACATGTGTATTTCCTCGATGTACTCTTATCTTTGATGTTTAAAATCAAATGCCTCATCTAAATATCGCAAATCATCAAATAGTTTTCTGGTTACGATTTTTAAATTTGTCCATGGTAATATATGCTTTACGCATCACCTTGAAAGAATGTTGGTTGATCTTTACATATGGTAACTGGTGTTGGCGACTTTTGGAGGCATAAGTTACTACCTGGGTGGTAATAATGTGAGCGTACTCAGTTCCGATTACGCATTATTTTGTGTGAGGTAAACGAGAGATCATGGGATATGTCATGAGATATTAATGGACGAATTACGGTTCTTAATCAAGGCCGGGAAATCGAGGAAAAAATCTGGAAATCTTGTATTTGGCCTTCTGTTTTTGTGTGAAACACTCGTTTTTTGGATCCATGGCGTAAGAAAGTTTCGAATGGTTTTTAGTTTTTATAAGCTTAGTTTTTATTTTTTGTTTTTCAAAATTATTTTTTTTTTGTTTGAAATTACTACCCGGAAGTTTGGCTGGGTCCTTCTACACTTGAAGCTCAAATGAGGTGCGATTGCGGTTTCGCCTAGATATTGGGTTCTCATCTATCCCAGAGTTCCACACTCTCTTCGCTCGCAGTATGTCATTTCCGGTTGTGGGGAGGGATCTCAAATGATAGAATAGCTAGTGAACGGAAATCCTCGTATTGCAATTTTCGTAGTCGAGTGTTTACAAGCTAATTTGATCAAACATCTCTGATCATTTTAAAACAAAACGGTCCTTTTCAGGACCAAATGATCACTTTAATAAAGGGCCCTTTTCAGAGCCAAATGTTCAATCAAATGCAATGATGAAAAAAATCAAACTAATTCGGATATTTCTACGGATATGATTACATCAAACAAGTTTCCATGCGGACGTGGGAAATTCTTTTTTTCCAAATTTAATTTGAAAAGGCATGTAATAAAATGCCATCCAACGGATGAACACATATTGCAGTCTCTAAATTTAAAAGTATGTGAAACATCCAAACTCAAAATATGTGACTCTAGTTGTAATGGTGATCACATTTCAACTAAGAGACAGTATAAATGTCCTTTGTGTAAAGGGGATTTTGAAAATGAGTTGATAAATGAACACTTTTTACAAGTTCATGATGTAAAACTTGAAACATCAGAATTAAAATTTGAATCCTATGAAAGTTTTTTTGAATGGAAAGATGATTTAGAAAATAAAGTCGAAATTTATAATACATGTATCTGAAAACCAAATGCCACTGGTACAGTTACATATTTTACATGTCACCGTTCAGGGCATTTTCATTCACAGAGTTCTGGAAAGCGACACATAAAGCTACTGGGCAGTAAAAAAATTAATGCTTATTGTCCTGCGAAAATAAAATTGGTCAAATCAAAACGAGAGGAATACTATGCATATTTCCAGAAAACACATGTAGGCCATGAAAATGATATGGGTCATCTTTTCCTTTCAAGTAAGGATAGAACCTTTATTGCATCAAAAATAGCTGCTAAAGTACCATTTGATGCAATTTTGGATGAAATTCACGATTCCATATCTGATTCTGGCCTCGAACGATTGCATCTAATAACAAAAAAAGATCTGCAAAACATTGAACGAAGTTTTGAGTTAGCTTCCAGTGCAGTAAAGCATAGTAATGGTGTTGGTGTATTTAATTATGGCAAAGCACACGAGGGCTATCTGCCTAAGGGAAGGGATGCCTTTGTGGAGGACTTTCTAAGGGAAACTGGCTCGTATACACGTTACACATGGGGAAAACCACGAAAACGCCCATGCAGCCAGCTCATTCGCGGGATTCGAACCTCGGACCGAACTACCAGTGTTCAGCGACTTTACTGCTCGACCGCTGGTCGGCTAAAGCATAGTAATGACTATGTGAGGGTTGACATGTGGGTGAATGAAATGCTTAGTTCACAGATTTCATGCGTGTTATATTATAAGGCACAAGGTGTAATATCCCCAACACATACATTCCTTAACGATGAAGATTTTATTCTCATCATAATGACAAATATGATGACAATAATCACAAAGTGAAATGCTAAAAAAATTTAGTTCAGACTGCATACAGTTAGCTACAAAAGTCTGTGTACAGACTAAATTTTAAATTAAAAAAAAACACTTAAAGCATAGAAAAATGTTTTTTAATCATTGCATATTTTTCTTCTATTAGCTAAAATTGTAAGCTTAAATAAAAAGTAAATAATATCAGTGTAATACTTTTTAAATTTTTTCAAAAAACTCAGAAATTCCATCCAATAAGTCTGCGTACACTTTCAAAAAAAAAAAAAAAAAAAAAAAAAAAAAAAGTAAAATATAAGTTTTTTACATTACTTCAATACTTTGTAGGATATCCTTTATTCTTCAAAACAGCCTGCAGACGTCTGGGCATTGACTGAACTAGTTTTTAAGTGTCATCCGACATAAATTTCGCCCATTCTTTCTGCAATTTACTAATTAGCTCATTTCGTGATGTAATATTGTGTTTTCGAATTCGTTTTTCTCCAATTTTGCCCACAAATGTTCGATTGGATTGAGGTCTGGTGACTGTGGAGGAGTACGCAATTGTCTTGGAGTGTGATAGAGGAGATATTCCTTCACAATTTTAGCTCTATGTTTCGGGTCGTTGTCTTGTTGGAAAATAAAGGTATTAGAAAGGTTTAAATTTCGGGCACTGTCTCGTAGATTTTTCTTCAGAATATCCAGATAAACATACTTATCCATGACTTTATCAATAATGTGAAACTTTGAAACTCCTTTCGACGACATACACCCCCATACCATCACACCGCCAACTCCATGTTTGACAGTTGGATTTAAATTTCTCAGATTCAGTTCTGTTCCTGGTTTTTCTCCATACAATAGGGTGGCCATTAACTTTAAATATTGTAAATTTACTTTCATCTGACCAAATTACATTGTTCTAGAAGTCCTGCGAAGAGTTTAAATATGTTTTGGCAAAAGCAATTCTTTTCTTTCTATTTGTCTCGGAAATGTATGGCTTAGACCTAGGTTTGCGTCCATGATAATCGGCCTTTCGCAGCACTTTTCGTACAGTTTCAGGAGAAATTTCCTTGTTGCTAGTTAAAAAAATGTCTTTTGCAATGCTTGCAGCAGAAAGTTTAGGATTTTGTTTAATTCGTAAAAGAATTGTTCTTTTTTCCCTCTGCGTTAGCTTCTTCGGTCTCCCACATCTTGGTTTTACAGCAAGACTATCAGTGTCAAGATAGTTTTGAATAACTCTTTGCCCACTAGAAAATGGTTTTACCAATATAACGAAGAGTTTTATCTTCATCTCTCAATTTGATAATTAGTTGTCTCGTAACTAAAGGAATTTCTTTATTGGTTGTCATTTTCGTCAAAGAAAA